CGGCCTCAGGGTCTAACGCCCGTGAGCACCCAAAAGAAAACCAAGCCTGTGAGGTGGCAGTTCGGCATCCGATCGCGTAATGCGCCTTGGGAAGCCTTACTCACGATTCACAAAGCTCTGCGTAAATTGGGTGCGACGCATGTACCTGATGAAGATTTTGACCCTAATCAGGGCAGAGGTAGTGAAGGTGGCCACAGCGGGCAGGGCAGCTTTGCCGATTATTATGATGGCAGATCTGCTGGTGGTCGTTCGACTACAAGTCTGGACCCGACTCAAAGATATAAGCTCCCTGCCGACCCTTGGCACATCAAAGTCAGGTGGGACGCTTCAAGTACGTATATAATCATCTCCTTGCATTCATATTTATTTCCTAGCTAATGTCTGCCGCCTAGCAATCCAAAAGAAGGTCCGCAACTTACCTGTGGGGCCTGGGAAAGATTTTGTTGGCAGCCCAGATAACTACCAACTCTCCCCGGCAGAAGGCGGGCCGCCGAGACCCTTTGTTGCCATGCATTTAGATATCCAGATTTACGAAATGGAGCAAGGGGTCTACCTGGTCGACTTCAAGTGCTCAGGCTACGAGACGGCCCATGGCAAGATGCTCGAGGAGAAGGAGGTTACCAGTCCATACCCCTTCCTGGACATGGCAGCGAAGCTTATCATGCAGCTCGCCGAGGCAGGTTAAGAGCCTTTTCTGGTCCCAAGATTGAGGATGGGCCATGACCAGGCAAGCGATATGAGAAAGGAAATTGGCGTTCTAGGAAACGGAGCAGGAGGAGCGGCCTCGGGTACAAAATCAGCGACCGAGTGGGGATTGGTTCCTATTTGCATTCACCAACTTGTTTGTTTTTGACTGGTGGTTTTCTCGTCGTTTTACACCCTGCCAAAGGGTTGATTAGCTTTGACCACCTGTGCCCCTTGTGGGACAGGCTCTGCCTTGTTCTGTTACCGGTTCTCAATCAGGGAATTTGACTACAATTGGGAACCCCGTCTGCCTTGAACTTGGGGTGGAAGAAGGGAGTGGTAAATCAGCCGAATCCGTGACATGCCTTGTGGCTGTCTGACCTCGTTTTCTTGTTTCTTGCGAGAGGCTGGACATAGAATATATGCTCGCTTTGTGAGACTTGCTGAGGTTATGAGTACGACATGGCGTGAAAATCATTGTTTACCGAGTTTCAAGAAACGTCGAGAGCGGTGGACGTTTCTGCTATTAAACTCCAGCTTCGAATAAACCATGCTAGGGCAATAAATTTTTGAAGAGAACAGAGAATTCTCCTTGAAGGCGGGTTCAAGCAACTCTGTGCAGCTCCCTTTGTACTTTGGCAAAAGGAGGGAAAAAAGGAGAGATACGCCTGATAGAATGTAAAGGGCAAAAAGAGGACATACAACAGCAGGTATTCGCTGGTCGTCACCGACCCAACTACTAATCCGCCCCTTAAAGGCTTGACTATGGGAGAGCGAACGGGATCCCGTATTTTCCTTTAGATATGGTCGTATGTGGTTTGATGAAGCTATCGTGGGAGCTATAAGCCCTAGACCCCACCATAACACAAAATGATAAAAACAAAAGGCATTCTAGCCAAAAAGACATACAACAGCGGGTATTCGCTGGTCGTCACCGACCCAACTACTAATCCACCCCTCATCCGTTTAACTAGGCGAGAGCGGACGGGATCGCGTGCTTTCGAATGGGTATGGTCGTATGTGGTGGTTGAAGCTATCGCGGGAGCTATAAGCCCTAGACCCCACCACAACACAAAATGATAAAAACACGAAGCATTCCAGCCAAACCGTTTGTAACATCCGGGCTCAAAACCGTTGGATATTTTAGACGACATATGCGACCCTTCGAAATGTTTTCTTTTAATTGCTTTGTTATTTTCAAGATCATTTAGCACTTTACCACGACAGGTCACATATCGTGGGCATCTGGGGCTGAAACCCCTGAACCAGCGCCTCCCAGTCCAACGAATCGACATTCAGATCAATCGGATTCGAAGGCACTCCAGCCATCGGATACCCAGCCCAGTGGGTACCATTATTATCCTCTCCCGCCATAGTTGTATTATGTGCCTGCAGAGGTGGGCGGTCTTTCGGTGCAGCAGTGACTCCCTCACTCCCAACTAGATCCATCGTCTGCAACGTAGGAGCCTTGGACTGCTCCCCCATTAGCAAGCGATGCGCGAGTTTGGCAGGACAGCCATGAGCAAAAATATGACTCGTGAATTCATGATATTGAAAGAAACTGTTTCTTTATGACGGCAAGGTGGTCGCATAAATGAAGATCATCATGAGACTAAACTATATCAATATGCCAGAATGGTATCTCTAGAATTTCCTTATCCGCATTGGGATATTGTTCAAAACTATGGGCAACTTTTGAGTAGTAATTGCCGCTCCTACTATTGTACTCTGGACCCATGATATACTTCTCGAGTACTGGTTCTAAATGGAAAAAAGCCCCTAGATGTAGGTGAAAGTCCAGTACAGCATCAAGTTGACCCTTAATCGCTCGTATAAAGGAAATATAGCCATCATACACAAGTCGCATGAATGATTCGGAATAATCCGCGTCACTACACGGCTCGCAATCCACACCAGCATCAAATATAATGAGCAGCTTGGAAGTCAGAAAGGATCTGCTAATAAAAGAGATAAGGCTGATCCAGGTGTCGAGTTCATCTTTCCAACGAATAATCTGCCTTGCCTCTAAGCGAAACTTGATACGCCTGAAGCACTTTAGAGTGGTTGGGCGGAGGGATTGAAGCATAGAGAGAGTGTGTCGAAAGGGACCATCGAAAATAAAGGTATTAGCAGCATAGAGAGTTTGCACAGCATCGGCGTATATCTGCCGATTCACAAGGAAGAGATCGAGAGGCAAATCTCTGCACTGGCAATGGGGAGAGAAGGATCCGTAGTTTAAAGGACAGCTACAGTCCAACTTTGTGAAGGAACATCTGCGACAACATGTCCGTTGGAAGTTGAGAAATTGACCACGACGTGCTTGGTCAAACCTCCCGTGCTTGACGGTAATGTCATTCCACTGGGCTTGGAAATAGCCAAGGGGCCCGAGATTGGTGTATTCAAGGATCCGAAGACGGATCTCTTGCGGTAAAGATAGCAATGATAGATGTAGCTGTTTTTCTTGAGGCTCATTCATCAGATCGGTCGCAGTCGCGTGGGCAATCGAACGCAGATGAGGATTTCGCCGTCTGCTAAGCCTTATGACACAATCCTTCAACGGCGGAAGTGACTTCAGTGGCTCTGTGATCTGCCGGGCTGCTGTTGAGTCTTCAACATCACAGATGAACTCCAAGGTAAGACGCCCAGGGACAAGACAGGACGCAAGGCGCTTGCATAAACCTGACCACCGTTCCTTTATACACTCGGAGTTGACCCCCTCAGCCGAGAGTTCTGGATCACTCAAGGCCACGGGGGCCTGACAAGTAATGCATTTGCTGTTATTGCGGATCTTCCAAAGGAAAGGAGATGTATGGCCTCGATAGCACGGCCAACAATTCAAGCGGACCAAGAGATGGCGCAATGCACGTAATGCACCGCCCGAAAGGCTCTCTAGAATCTCGAGATCATCAGCCTGATGCGCGCGTACAATAAATTTGTTTTCGCTATATAATATATTTTGAGTCTCTTGATGCAAGGCCTTATTGATGAGCAAGAGTTGCTTTGGGACCTCTGGACATTCGCATTCCCGACTTTCATGCGGCATTGAAAATCCCCCGCCTGTCTTGCGGAGTGTGAAGTTGCAGTCCCATGCTCTTCCTTGTCTCGCGGCCGGGTGATGGCGACAAGGAGAGCGGTTCACTGCGCGTGATGATGGAATCAGAACAATGGGACATTCTCTTATCAATCCGGCCAAGAGATAAATTTTCTTGCGAAGAGGGAGAGGAAGGGCGAAAAAGAGAGCGGGCGTTGCAGAATCCATCGTCGATGGCTTGTCCGGAGACGTCGAGTGTGACTACGTCTGGTAAAAGAAAAAGGATGAACGGATCCTTCCTAGAAGAAGGGAGTTTCTTATGAAATTATAACGAAGGCATGGTCGTATGTGACTGGTGAAGCCATCGTGAGGGTCAAATACCCTTTACAAGACTCCACCACCAAATGACAAAAAGAACATACAACAGCGGGTATTCGCTGGTCGTCACCGACCCAACTACTAATCCACCCCTCAGAAGCTTATCTATGGGAGAGCGGACGGGATCCCGAGTTCTCTTCTGGGTATGGTCGTATGTGACAGATGAAGTTATCGTGAGGGCCAAGTACCCTACGACCTTTAGCAACATCGTCCATGGATTTTCAGCCATGATGGAATCAAGTATTTTCTTCCGCCGCGGGACTAGGTCTTGACCGATCATGGAGTTGAGCTTTTCCCATGATGAAAGAAATCAAAGGCACACTTTCGCCTAATCATGGAAGATGGGCTTCTCCTAGAATCAAGCGTGGTCACCCATCATCGGCGTCATGGGCCTTTGGATCATGTACAAGGCCTAGCAGGTCAACAAGCGGATGGAAGCGATGGTCAGGTACGATATGGAACAGCGGTATGGTGCCGATAACATAAGGACCAGTTATTCCCAAAACCCCCTTCCAGCTCCTTGGCGATTGGGATGTGCCGCCATGGCAACCAGTGTAGGCCGGTGTCGACAATCTTTCATGCCGCTCTGGGATCCCATGAAGCGCGGTATGGCCCAGCTTCGACAACTCTTCGTCCTAGCTTGGGACGACTAGATTTGGGAACTCTTGCTTCATGCAAGTAGTCAAATTCATCGTCACTCATATTTGGTCATGTTCTATGTCATGTATAATAGAGGTCCCTGAAACAAAACCTGGTCTATTCGTCATAAAACTCTGCTTAATTCAACGATCTAAAAACAAGGCTTCTGACCATGATGAAATAAAAACAAATATAAAAGCAGGCTTTTGCAAGTCATGGAAATAAGGGGGAAGTGCAACAAGATTCGCCAACTATGCCATAAAGAAATTCAATCCTCTGCCGAGCCGTCTTCAGAACTACCGGATTCCGCTTCTGAGTCGTCTTCCGAGCCATAGGATTCCGCTTCTGAATCGTCTTCAGAGCTATCAGATTCTGCTTCTGAATCATCTTCAGAGCTATCGAATTCCGCTTCCGAATCGTCTTCCGAGCTATCAGATTCCGTTTCAGAATCGTCCGGAGAGGCGGCTATTCGTGCCTGAGTCTCTGCTGTCACCACAGCCTCATCTACTCCAGCCAGGATTCGGCGGGCCAACTCGTCCCTTTCGCGGCCGTAGAGAGTCTCGTGCTCGTAAAACCCGTTGCCCCTGATCCAGGAGTCGATAATACCCAGATCAATGCTGCCACAGTCGAAATATGTAAATAAACCAAACAGCATGCATTCCCGCATGTACTGACTCTGCTGGGGGAAAGGGGGGTTGAGGTAGTACTTGGCCCAAGCATCCCGCCATCCCTCACAATTGAGCATCTTGGCGCGGACGAGAGCCATGACGAAGTGGAAATAGGCAAATCTCGCAACCGGGCGCTGCTCGTTGTTGAAAGCCAGCTCCTGTGAATGGAACGCTGAGACCAGCGTTGACCGACCCGCAAAGCGCTCACTGTTCAGCCTGGAGGAGATGACCGCTGCTTTCCAGCGCCTTATGGGTGTTTCGTCGCGATCATATGGGAGGATCACAAGCTTGTATGTCCCGAACCACTTGATGATTTCTCTATGGAGGACAAGGAAGTTGCCGGATCCTCGCAGTGATTCAGCACCACTCCCGAACAGCAACGGGGCGAAGGCTCCGGAATCAACAAAGTAGGGAACGATAGGAGCAATCTCGACATCATCCTTGGGGAAGAATTCTCCAGATATCTGGCACTGCACCAGGGGGGCTCCGTCAATGTCTGTGCTCCAACTGGTAGAAAGCAATACCACCACATCTTGGCCCCCTGTGCCCAACACTGCTGCTTCCTGATCACGAGCACCAGGTTGTTGATAAAGATCCTGCATGCAATCATGAAATTCGTAAGTGCGCATGGGAAAGTCGTCGTACCGTTCACCGACCCTCTCCCTCTCATACTTCCACAGCTCCTCACCAGCAGCCAGGACGCCGCCGCTCACCAGCCTCATTTTTCGCTCGGCAAAGTCCCTGCTGAGCGACCACACTTTAATCTCCTCGATGGCCACCTCCCGCTCCAGGCCGGCAGCCTCCTTGTTCTTTTCGGCCATCTCGACCCCAAGCCTGGCCAGCTCTGCAAGCTTTGCCCGGTCGTCGATCACCGGCTGCAGCTGGTCTGGTCTGAACCTGGGCTCTATTTCCAGCCGCAGGTGTTCACGCCGCCCGAGCAGGTCCAGGTACTCGTAGAGCACTTGATAGCGCTGCTCCAGCTTCTCGCTCATTCTGCTTGTCCCAGCTTTTCTTTGCTGGTGATTTTCCATGTTTGAGCTTTGGTGTAAGTCGAGAACTTGGGAGATTTTCTTTCGAAAATTTTGGAAATTTTCTTCAGGCTACAGCGATTGTAGAAGGCAAGCAGAAGCATAGCCATACATAGCTGACGAGCTGTATTTAACACCGTGGCATTGGGACTCTACGGGCTTCAAAACCTCTGTGCATACGAGCAAAGTACAAGTAAGGTTGTGGCAAGGTCAAAGTAAGTTTACCACTTATATACCTTACCCAGCGAATTATGTAGTGTTAGACTCTACTCGGACGATTTCAACCGACATTAACGTTTTGCTCTACGCTTTCTGACACCTTCACCCGTATTTGTGTGAAAAGGGCTTGAGCTAGCTGGCGACACAATAATTCAGCTTGCCAAGGCGACCGACAGTGTATTCCAACACAAGATGGGTACAAGAGAAATGCACAGCAAATAACCTAAAAGTGTATTATTTGCTCATTATTGTGACTGTCATGGCCTCTTACCTTGGATCCCTGTTTCAGTCATGGTACGTCAGTAGGAGCATTGCTGCCCACACGCGAGTGAGTATCAATCGATCGCCTAATATTCTTACGAGCTCTCAACGCCTCATGCATTCTTAGTGGCCAACTTCACCTGTCAGGCGGCATTAAGTAGCTTCTGTAGTCCATGTGACACTCGCTCTTTTTCTACTACGCCAGCTGATGCAGATGTAAACCCTAACACCCCTCTATGCCTTCATTTGAGGATCTAGAAAATACCCAAGGAGCGTTCGAGGAGGGCCTCCAAGAGTTTACCGGGTGCCACTCTAGATAGTTTTTCAACTGTTTCCCCCCTCACCACTGAGGATACGATCATCGCCCCTAAGAGTCTTGAGTCTATATTTACTAGTTTGGGAAACTATTCAAACACCATTGAATTCGTTTGCCGTGACACTATATCTGCCCTGGGTCTGGGCTCCGGCTCATTTGCTTATATAGTTACGTGGACCATGATAAATCCTGACTTTGTTGAGCAGTGTGCTGCCCTCACTGCAAGTTTGAGCATAGCTACTGACATATCATAAACAGACAATATTGGAGTATCCGGAAGGGTTTAAGAACATTGTAAAGGCCTACTTTCGAGCAGCTAAGCTGATAGATATTTATGTGATGGCTAGGGCATTAGACACATCTCAAGTCTTGGGTTTTCTGACCTTCTGCAGGAGTCCAGCCTGATCTCCCTCGGGCAGGTTGAGCAATCCCACTCGATGTCTTGAAGCATGAAGCATCTAAGCTGGATAGCGGTGGGGTCTGACACGGTTCCGTTTGGAATACATCTATCTTAATCATTCGCGCCAGTTCATTTTCCTTCCTGCAACTTTCTCGGAGGTTGTCAAATCAGGTTCCATATGCTGTTGATAATTAAACGTGGATTTGTTCCAGTCTATATCGATTTGCTCCAAGACAACCTAGAGAGTGCAGCGACGAAAGCTTTCAAACGACAAAAACCACACAGTGATGCTGAGAAAGCCGCAAAGTCGACCTAGAGGAAGACACTCAACTGCCTCCTCCGAGCGATTTGATAGTCAACGCTACCCCAAAGGCCGGGGGAGGGGCATATCAATCCCCCGCATATGCCAAGCCCGTCGGGGATTGTTGCTCGGAATCCGGATCACTAGTTGGTTTGTCAATATAACAGTATCTGAATGTGCGACTTATAGCAAACATGTTCTCGTCGCTGAAGACACATCTGTATTTGAGCACATGAGCTTTTCTAGCAGTTAAATCATAGACCCTCCTTCAAGCCATCTGTCCAAAGATCAACCGATGAGTGATAAATGTACATGGGCGATGCCGCAGGCCCCAGTCCCCGTTCAGGGTGACAGGCAGCCTCACTGAGCCAATTATTTGCAGCTTCCTATAACAATTTCGGAAAAGAGTCACCGGGATATTAAGCAGCGCTATTTTTGTGAACAGAATATGTGACAGTGGTATAAGAAGGTAAAAAGAACCCCTGACTGGTCAGGCCATAACATAAGCGAACAAAAACCGCGACTTCCATATCATGGATCTTTGATTTCATAGTCTCATTACCCCTCCGACTCTCGGCTCTACCTATGCCTCACTTTTCGACCAACTCCTTTCACCTCTACTCAGCCCGCTTATTTGAACTGGTCTTCCGTCACACCATGGCCCATTGCCGCCGTTGAGCTGATGCCTCCCGTCACCATCTTCTGGAGCTCGTCAACGTAGGTGGCACCGCTCCACTTCTGGTGCTTGACCACATCCACGCCGTGGTCCATTTCTGGCTCCTGGACAAGCTCTCCGTACGCTCGCATGCCCACGCTGCTGTAGGCCTTTGCGAACTGGTCGCTGATCAGTGCTGTTGTATGCAGACCAGCCAATGTGATGAACTGCCAGCAGTATCCCAGGCCCGCCAAGCGTCGGATGTATGTCTCCTGCTCGTCGCGTGGCATCGCCGTCTTCCAGTTGAAAGAGGGAGACAGGTTATAAGCAAGCCTAGATCCCAGGTGGTTAGCTTTTTGGTAATCAGAATCCGTGTTGAATTGATAACTTACTTCTTCTCTGGCCAGACAGCGTGGACGCCCTCAGCAAACTGCTCAGCTTGGGCATAGTCGGGCAACTTGCTCTCCATCCAGATGGCATCGCAGTACGGGCCGTAGGCAATGGCTCGGTTGATAGCACAGTCGCATCCGCCCTTCAGACGGTAGTAACCCTCGCGTGTTCGGGGTGCCTCCCAGTCGAAGAAGACATCCTTGCCCAGAATTTTACGGGCAACGGCTCGTGCCTCAGTGTTGGACTTGCCCTTGGCCCCTGAGAGATAGTCGCTCTTGGCTTGGGCCTTGTTGGAGATGCTGCTCTCGGCATCAATGGCTGAGGCAACAGCATCGTCGAAACGCTGAAGCTTGGCAGCGGTGATCCATTCATCTTCAATGCGTTGCAGCTCACCACCTGTCTTGCCTTCGCCCTCAGCCTTGATCATGAGCTCATTGAGTGGCGGCAGGCTAGGGTTCGTTGAACCAATAATGAAAGCATGGTCGCGGGGATCAATAGTGGTTGTGATCAGTGTGGCAGCTTCGGCATCCGTACGGGCGACAGCAACAAGATCAGAGCCTGTTACACGAACGGTTAGTTTCAGGGGGGGCTTGACGACACACAACTATGCGACTGTTGAAGAAGCCACTCACCCATGATATCAGCCTGGGCACGGATAGCCACAAGTCGGTTGATGTGTTCGCTAATGGGCACCAAAACCTTGCCCGCCATGTGACCGCACTTTTTGGTTCCTGGAGCCTGGTCCTCGATATGAATACCAGCAGCACCCTTCTCAATGAAGAGCTTAGTGAGCTTCATGACCGCAGTCAAACCACCGTGTCCGGTATCAGCATCGGCGACAATGGGGCGGAGGTAGTCGATGTTGGCCAGCTTTGATCGCTCGGATTTGGGGACGCTCAGGCGCTCTTGTCGTTGCTTGCGGTCGTGGAAGAGCTGTGCCATGAATAGATGGCCGACCTTGTTGGGGACAGTGGTCTGGGAAAGATCTGTCAGCGACGCCTGGTGTAAACCACTTGCACGGGGATATACTAACGTAAGGATAATCAGCCAGGTCCGGGCCAGGTTCATCAGACGCCGAGGCAGTTGACGACGATTGCCATCCGGAAACATAGACGGTGTCGAGGTACTTGGCCATCTGTGTGACGGCGGTAGGTTCCATGCAACCATAGGTGTAACTGGCATCTTTGGTCTATTGCCCAGAAATACAAAAGGTCCTCGACTTAGCAACAGGTTCATCAATATTCCCAAGATCCTGGGAGGGAAGTGCCAAGGCAGCTACAACATACCGCGAAACGATTCTCAAGGATGTCCCAAAGCTTCTTGGATTGGGCATTGCTGGGGTAGTCGATCTTCAGGTTGCCTCGCTTAGAGACAATCTGTTCTGCAGTGAAGGGTCTCTTGGTGTGCCGCCAACGGGAGTCACTCCACCATGTCTTGACTTGCTCGACCTCTTTTGCGAAGATCTCGTCTTCGTGGTCCGGGTTCACGGAGTGGGTGACCATGTTGTTGGCCGCCATGATGAAAGTTTGTGGGGTGTGGGGTTGGATGTACAACGGCAGAGCAGTACGAAAGTCAAAGATGGATGTTGAGGTGGGATATAAGTGAATTGGATGGGAGGACTAGCGATGTAAGAGACAGCTGGTCACGCGATGCTTCAGGAACAGATAGGCAGGGTCAGGAACGTCAAGGAGGGGAAGGGGATCTAGCTTCATATAAAGAATTCACGGGACGACGACCGGAGAATGGAGAAGAGTCATACATCGGCTGTTTGGTAAGAGGCAGGGTCAAGCCAGGAAGAATGGAAGAAGGGTCTCGATGACTCGATGGCACGTGTCGGTCAAATGGCCCAGCCTAAAACCCCAGAGCGAAGCAGATGAGAGCAGAGAAGCTAGACTAAGACGCCAAACTCACCTGCACCGAACAACTCCCACGGCGGCTCGTGCATCTTGCCCCAATTGAGGTGCTAGACTTACGCCATTGCGCCTCGGGAGTCAGGTCAAGTCACAGGTGGAAGACGGGCAACTCGCCGGAATAGGCCGGTGCATCTGGATAGCCGTCTCCGGGACATAGATGTGACATGGAGGTCGTGTGCCTAGGTACACGAAACCTGGAATCCCACGGCGCGCTCAGCATCGGGATAGCTTGGCTGCGATTCGTTTAACGGAAAGTCCAGGCTAAGCATAGCATTCGTGCATCGAATCGCAGGCGAGCATTGGTTCCTCCTTTGGGCTGCCCCGTTGGGCTGGTGGGTATCGTAGGTGCTTCAATCAATAGATGTCTTGCTTTTGCTGCAGTTGCCATCGTCTGGCCTCTCGGAGCAAAGGGGCCCCATTGAGTTTGCACGGCAATTAGACTTCAGAAGGCAATAGCCGTCGTTGGCCGAGGTGCCGAATTTGGGATGGCATGGGCCCGACAGTCAGTGAGACAACCATGACGGCCGATCTCCATTTTCTGGGGCTTC